GGATCATAATAGGGCAAAGGATGTGCAGAGGGTTGCACGGAGCTCTCTGTACTTTATGCATAATTTCTCTGTAAACCTAAAATTGCTCTAGAAAATTTGGTCTACTAATACATGCTCTGGTAGCATTGTAGATCACAAGCTGAGCTGTTAACCAAAAGGTTAGCAGTTCAAATCTACCAGCTGCTCTGTGGGAGAAAGAGGAGGTTTCTGCTTCCGTGGGGTCACTATGAGTCAGACCCAATTCAAGGGCCCTTAACAACAACAACAATACATGAAAAAGAACGCGACACCAGGATTAGAAGGCTCATTAACAATCTGCAACATGCAGGTAACACAACCTTGCTTGCTGGATGGGAAGAGGACTTGAAGCACTTACTAAAGAAGATAAAAAACCACAGCCTTTGTTGTTGTTGTTAAGTGCTGTCGAGTCGGTTCCGACCCATAGCGACCCTATACAGGGTTTCCGAGAGTGTAAATCCTTAGTAGGGATTAAACATAAGAAAAAAAAAAATCCTCACAACTTGACCAAGTTAACAGCATTATGATAAATGGAGAAAAGACTGAAATCGTTAGAGTTCATTTTACTTGGATCCACAATTAACACTCGGAAGCAGCTGTCACAAAACGCCACAATGTGCTGCATTTGGTCAAATCTGTTGCAAAAAGATCTCTTTAAAGTGTTAAAGAGCAATGCTCTTCAATCACCTCAGATTACAAACTGGGCAAGGTCAGTAGTTCAACTGTACCAGTCACTCCATAGGAGAAAGACGAGGCTTTCTGCTCCCATAAAGATTTAGAGCCTCAGGAACCCTACTCAGGGTAGCTATGAGTTAGAACCTACTCTGTGCCAGACAACCATCATCACCACCATACGAATAAGGAAGACCAAAGGAAGATCGATGCATTTGAATTATGGTGTTGGAGAAGAATTATGGTGTTAGAGGAGAATAACAGGGTTGGAGAATTATGGTGTTGGAGAAGAATTACAGTGTTGGACTGCCAGGAGGACAAACACATCTGTTTTGGAAGAAGTACAGACTGATAGTTCCTCGGAAGTGACGATGAGGAGACTTGGTCGATCGTATTTTAGACACATCATTAAGAAACACCAATTGCTAGAAAAGGGCTTTATGGATGGTAGAGTGGAAGGTCAGTGAGAACAAAGCTATCCCTCCTCCATGAGCCACAGCCATGCAACAATGACGCTGATGGCCTCAAACATGGCCAGGACCTCGAAGACCAGGCAGTGTTTGGTTCTGTCCTACATAAAGTCACCAGGAGCAAGAAGCAATTAGCAGGCAACTGAACAGCACATTTGTTGTTAATTCTTCTGTGGTCTCGACCCGGACATAGGTTAGAAGTGTGTAACATAGGTTAGAAGAGTAACAGCAGGGAAGAATGTATTCCTTAGTTCAGTCAACCACAAGAGACCAAAAGAGCAGCCTTTGTCCAGACAGAAACAAAGCTCAGCCGTTAGAAAGGGGCAGGGAAGGAAGGAAGGACCAGAGTCCATTCAAGGGCTGTGGGTTTCGGTTTGGTTGGTGGGGGGATGGGTGTCAAGAGAAACCCCAAAAAAGACTGAAAAAGGCACTTTTACATGGAGAGGATTGCAACCAATGCCATGAGACAAAATATGTGCAGGAAGGAAGGAAGGAAAACGAATTTGCTCTGTCAGCTTCCACCCAAACTAAGAAGAAAGGGAAGGGGTATCTGAACAGGAGACTCATTTCATGCCTGAGCACACAGTCCTGCTTCCACTGTGGTCTCGCTGGGTGTGTATAATCAGGACAGCTGCCTCTATGTCCAGGCCTGCTACAGTGGGCCTTTGTGACCCTCCAAGCTGGCTTCCTCGGGCTCTGTACCCTCTCTACAACCAGAGTTCTCACAGACCCAAATCTGAACAAGCTCCTCCGATGGTGAAACCTATGTTTCCACCACGTTGACGTAGACGCTGGAGCTCGGCGGTCTATTTGAACAGCGCCCTCTGGAGGAGGAGAGCATACACAGCTCATGTACTTCGGACAGATTTTCAGGAAGGACCAGTCGCTGGAGAAGGATGTCAGAGTGGAAGGTCAGTGAAAAAGAGGACGACTCTCAACAAGATGGGTTGGCATGGTGGCTGCAACGGTGGGTTCAAACACAGCAATGATTGGGAGGCTGGCACAGGGCTGGGCAACGTCACTATGAGTTAGAACTGACAACACCATCTGCCGACAATGACAACCCCAAAGCACTCATAGGCATGTGGATAAAAGCCACGTCGGAAGCTAGCACCCCACTCTTCACTGGACACCTGC